CTTAAAAAATCTGAAGCTCATCTCGAATGTTCCAGCATTACTTTTGGATTCAAAACAGAATTTTTAAATTAATTTTAAATTAAAAATTAATCAATTAAATTAATTTAAAATTTATAAAAATTTTTTATAAAAAGAAAAATAATTTTTATTTTTAAAATTTATTTGCACAGTTTGTATATTTTAATAATTTTTTTAATTTTTGTATAATCCAAAAATAATTGGCTATTTATAAATTTTTGGAAGAAAAAAAGAAAATTGAATCGAATTTTAAAAATTGTATTTTTTATAAATAAATTTCCAAATAATCACAAAAAATTTTTTTTAATTTAGAAATTAATTTTGTAAAAGAAAATGTTTTATTAAAAAAATTTTTTAACTACTATGAATCAGAAAGTTGGAGTAAATCTGGACTGGTTCGCATACAACAGTAATCCTCCCAAAATTAAAAATAAATTTCCAATTTTGGGAAATCTGGAAGTCGGGATCCCTCCTATGATGTCTATTGATATTTTATAAAAATAATTTTATTAAAAATATATTTTTATTTAAGCTATATAAAATTAATAAAAAAAGTTAATAAATCTTAGCCCGTACAACTATTACGTAATAATTTATGTATTTGCACAGTTAATTTAATATATATTTTAAATTTATTTAAATTCAAAAAAGAATACCTCCAAACCAATCCATTATTGGAAAAAAAATTTTATATTGCAATGAAAAAAGGAAATTCTTTTAAAATTTTTACGCAATTTTATTTTATTCTTTTTATTTTTGTTAATTCTGTGAAACCTCAAAATAATAACGATGAAATTATTTCTTTGCCCGGGCTAAATTTTAAACCAAATTTTAAGCAATATTCTGGTAAATATTTTTTTTAATTGAATGTTAATTAGATTGTATCTAACAGTCGGACCTTACTTTAAGATGTAGTTTTGGGGCTGAAAACATTGTAGCTTATAATTATTTGTATCCTTTGTATTATTTGAGCATGTCCCTCTTATCCTGTGGTCAGCCTCATTTAGTAAAGTATCTTAATTGAGATGTATTTAATATTGGTTTGTGTCCAAAATTGAAGTCTGATATTAAATTAAAGGATATCTGGATGTGTCGGATAAAGATTCTTTGTTCTATTGGCTGATTACCTCGCAAAATAATAATGAAAATGCACCTTTGGTTTGATAAATTAATTTTTTCTTAAATTTTGAATTTTAAAGATTGTTTGGTTTAATGCTCCTGGTACAGAAACGAGCCAAGGCTGCTCGCCTCTAGAAGTATTATTCACAGGAATAGGTTCTTATCTAATTAATTCAAATGGGACTCTTGACAAAAATGAACACGCTTGGAATAAAAATGCCTCACTTTTATTTATTGAAACACCAAAATCAACTGGATTTTCATATCTAAAAACTAATGATGAATATTTCAGAACTGGTGATAATCAGGTTTATGAAAAGAATATTTATAAAATAATATTGGATTCTATTAAATTAAAATGACAAGTTTCGGCCTCCATGAGGGCCAGAGCAATAAATTATATGTTGGATTACGCTTTTTTAGTTAAAGCAATACTCTGGTCACAATAAATATTTTAATATTTTGATCAGAGAGGGAGAGAGCTCTGATCTAAATATTTTTAAAAATACATATATTGAAATAAATACTCAAATTATTTATCAGGGAGATTATAACATATTTTTAATTTTTAATAATTATTATAAACAGACTGCTGATGAGAACTATGTAGCACTTAAACAATTTTTCAACAAATACCCAAATTACAAAAAGAATGAATTATATTTTGCCGGAATATCCTATGCGGGTTATACTGCCCCCTTGCTTGCTAGACGTGTTTTGGATGGAAATAAAAATTTTCGTTTAAATTTAAAAGTAAAATTAAAGGTTTTAATGAAATCTTATAGTGAAAGTACCTCAAATAAGGTATAGAATTTCGGCAGCTCCCCAGAAGAGGCTTGCCATTTAAAAAACTTATATTAAATTACTATAGTATTGGGTTTATCCTATAGTGATATTTAATCTTAATTACCTATTTTTAAAATAAGCAATTAAATATTAATTTAATTATTTTAAGGAAATATTATTAGATAATCCAATTTTAAATGTTTATTTAAATAAAAATATGGCTGCTCAATTCGCTTATGCATATGGATTTGTAGATGAACATTTGTGGAATGATTTTAAAGCAAATTGTTGTAAAGGGTGTGTTGGTGGGAATATTTTAAAAATATTTAACAAGAAATTCAGTCATTAAATAAAAAAATTATTTTTAAGATCCTTCCAATTGTGATATTAATTTTTTGAGGGGGGAATGTAGATATAAGGTAGGTTTTTTTAAGGTTATAATTTAATTAATGATTTAAGACTGTTGGGATTGTAGATGTTCTTACGGCTCCACGAGTTTATCCTTTTGATATTTATAGAGATTGTCCAATAGCTCAAGAAAATCTAGAACTAGGACAACCGTGTCTTTACAGTAAGGCTTTTAATTAAAAATTATTGGTAAAATTAAAAATGTTGTGTTAATTGAAGAGCTTTTTTAAGAAAAGCTCTGTTTAGATAACCGTGATATAAGATCTAGCTTTTGTCGTAATTTTTTTCAAAACAAAAATTTATTCACCCCCTCTTATCGACCTGAATAGAAATATTAAGAATTTCTTGCTGGAGAAAAGCTCAGAAGGTTAGGATTCATGAAAGTTAAAAAACCATAAGGGAATAAGTTCATTTTTTCTTCTATTTAATTTTCTTTGTCTTTAATTAATTTTAAATATTTAATAGTTCCCGGTGAATCAAAAATCTATGATTATTTGAATCAAGAACAAGGTAAATAATAATTAATTTAAAATATTTATTTAATAAAAATTAAAACTAAAAATATTTTGTAAATATTTGAAATATTTCCACTTAATAAAACACTTACTTATCGAAAATTTTGAGCGTGATATGGAGAGATAAAGAGGGATTGAAGGTGATATAAATTGATTTGAAGTGATATAAGGGATTTTTACGGATATCGTGGATATCAAGGAATTGTTCTGATATAGAGATTGAAAGTCTATAGAATTCTATTAATTTCAGAAAATTTTTATTCAATGTTCGATAATAAATTTCAGTTTTCAAATAATTTAGACATCGAAAAAAAATATTCCCTCCCTCTAAAATAACTCCTCCCTAATAAATAGCACCCCTCTAGGGGTCGATCGAAAAAATAACCCCTATGAGGTAATTTTAGAGAAAATATGTTGAATAAAATTGTGGCTCCACTTGTTGTCAATCAACTTTCGAAAAGTGTGTGCGTATATTAGAGAGTGTACATATCTGTTTGTAAGTATAAGGGATCTGACTGCAAGTTAAACTAATAATTTTTGCTGTCATCTTTAGCTACATATTTATTGAATAAAATATTTTTTTATAATTTTTAAAGTTCAAAAAGCCTTACATATACAATTAATTAATAATGAGTGGCTTGTTTGCAGTGATATTGGCAATTTAAAATATAATATGCAATATGGTATTCAAATAAAATTAAAAAATAAAATAAATAAAAATATTTAGATGATATTTCTGTAATATTGAAGGGATTATTGAAAGAAAAAATAAGAATAATGATTTTTAATGGAGATACTGATGCACTTAATATTTATTTAACTGCACAAAAAATTGTTGAAAATCTTGGGCAAAAAGTTGTTAATTTTTAAATAAAATAGAGGGAAATAAATATTTTTAAAATTAAATTAAAGTTAACAACCCCAAAACAAGCTTGGCTAATTAATGGACAAATTGGAGGGTTTAAAACAGAATATGGCAAGTTATTGACATTTACAACTGGTATAAATTTAAGAAAAATTACATTTGAAAAATTATTTTTAAGTTCGTGGGCAAGGTCAACTGGTTGGTTATTTTAAAATAAATATATTTATATTTTAGAAATTATTTTAAATAAAATAAAAAATTTAAATTTTATTTTTAGATACATTTATATGGACCTGAAATTGCTGAATATATTCTAAATAAATTTTTAAATAATTTACCTCTTTGAAGAAATGGAGAGTTTAAAAATTTGCAAGAATAAATAAGAGGATAAAACCACCTTTTATAATTGAAATCATTTTAAATAAAAACCAAGCATTTTTACTTTTACAAATTTTAATATCCATATCAAAAAAAAAATTTGAGGGCTAAATAATTCATGCGGATGTAAATGTCTTTATATAAAATTTTAAATAAAATTTTTAAATGGATTAGCGTAATATGTATACGTATTTTCTCTATTAATTCCCCTGTGAAATTAATATTTAATCAAAAATGGGGAATTATTCGAGTTTTAAAATTTGAATGTGCTTTTGAGTACTTGGGTGTGAGGAATTGATGTTTAAACTAGAGATAGGAATTTTTAAAAAGCATGGACTCTGGGGTTGATTTATTGACCTGGACTGGATCCTGGGCCTGTAGTCCAGGGAAAAACCTAGGCTCAGGAAAACCCCAGGAAGGTCAAAAAATGCCTGGACCTGCTGGACTTTGGTCACAGGAAAAGCCTGGGCCAGACTCAGGCCGATCTCTAGTTTAACCCCATCCCTGGCTGGGAAATTAACCGAGAAAATACGATATGTAGAAAACATTATGAGGATATATAAATTCTTATCACACAAATTAGAGGATACTTGAGGTATAAATAATAGGAGGGAGACATTTAAACCTGACATTTGCGGTCCACGATTGGAATTAAAATGCATCAAGTTTTTCTGGTATTTTATGAAAATTTTATCTGTGACAGAGATTCCGATTTCCGAAAAAAAATTTCGATTTCCGAGTTCCGACTTTTGAGCCAGTTCCGATTTCCGGCTCTTCCGATTTCCGACACCTCGGACTGTTCCGGCACATCTCTGTTTGTAATTGATTTTGACTTTGTAAAATACAATCAAAATCTAAAAATTAAATGGTTGACAGCAAATGTCAGACAATTTTTTAAATAATTCTTAGTTTACACATCTTTCAATCGTTTACTTTTTTCCATAAATATCTTCATATTCTTTTTCTTTCTTCAATTTTTTGTTCTTTTTATTTTCTTCGTATTTTGCTTTTTTTTCTTTCACCCATTCTTTTACCTTTCTTGCAACTTTTTTTATCATCGTTGGATTTTCTTCTTTCCATTTCTTTTTTAAGACTTTGAAAAAATTTTTAATTTCATTCTTGATATTATCTTCATTGTCAGTAAATTCGCCAATTAAAAATATTTTGCCAACATTTTTAAAAAATATTTCAATTTCACTGCAAATAAATTGAACAAATTCATTTTCTCCTTCAGAATTTTTCATTTTTTCCTCACAAATTTCTTTTCCTTTCAGTATAATCGAGAATTTATTTTCTTTCAAAAAATTAATTTTTTCATAAACCTCCTAAATTTAATTAAAAATATTTTTTAATATAAATAATAATCGTTTTAAAAAGATCAATTACCGTATTTACACAAATATCACCCTTCCTCAAATAATTACCCTCCCCTAATAATTACCACATCTAGCCAAAGATCGAAACAATAATTACCCTCTCTTATAATTACCTCCAATTTTTTCCTGAACTACATCATTTAAAAAATATTTATTAAAAATCATTGTCAATTAAAAAAACATTTCCGATCACCCAGGGTAATTATTTGAGTAAATACGTTAGTTTAATTTTTACATAGACCATTCGAATATGTTTTGTTAAATTTTATACTATTTATTTAATAAATCTAAAATCGCTTTTTAAAGGAGTATTTACATCTATAACGAATAAGGTTGTCGAATCTGGATATCCGGAAATTTCCGGTTCGGATGCCTGATCCGGATATCCGAAGATTTCTTACTAACGAAGCTAAGCATTTTTATTATTTAAATTATTTTTTAAATTAACCTTATATTTTACTTCAACCCCTTTTAATTTCTTCCCATTTCTTTCCTTTTCAATTAAAAAATTAAAACTTTGAAGTAAACGATCAAATCTTTTATCAGTTTTGAAAAAGAATTGAATATCCGGATATTCTTTATATATTTCTTTAAATTTATTTTTTAAAACTTCTTTCGCTTCTTCCTCACCAATTTTTAATAAAAACATACTATCAAAAATTTGTTTAAAAATTTCCCCAAATTCAGGCAAAGATTCAATTTGTTTTTCTTCTATTTTAGATTTCATTATTTCTTTTTCCAATTTAATAAATATTTCGTTAATTTCTTTGTATATTATTTCATTTCCTCCAACAATTTCTTCAACTTCTCCCCCAATTTTTGTTTTAATTGTGGGCTTTTTATTTTTTTCACCTTCCATTTTTAAAATACCAAATTTTTCCAAACTTTCTTCCAATTGTTTATACTGATTTTCAAAATAGTTAACTACTTTAAAATTCCCAAAAAATTTTCTTATATCTTTTCTTTTCTCCAAAAGTTTATCCAAAATTCCAAAAAAATTATTTTCCTTCAATGATTTGATGTGCTTATTTAGCAAGCTCTAAAAACATAAAGTTTATAATCGTAAAGAAATAAATTTTACAAAATTCCCGTGTGATAATGGGTAAATACCCGTTAATAGATAACGGGTAAATACTTTACTAAAACAACATTTAAAACACCTTGATAAAAATTAGATGAGAAATCTCTCTCCCAAATTAATTGTTTTAACTTTGTAGAGTTACACCCAATGCTTATTTTGTCAGAAAAATATTACAGTATTCTATTAGTAGAAGTAGTGCAGGACTTGGGGACCTTCCTACTAAGTCATGGTTTTCAATAAATAATTTCCGGACATTCAGAGAAGTAAATATGTATATTTTAATAAAATTAATTAATTTAATAAAATTTAAAGAAAACCTCAAATTTATATACTACAAACCACTCATTTTTCTCTTTATTTTTTATCATCTTTTCATTCAAAATTTTATCGAAAATTTCAAACTTTTCGGCACTATTTATATATTTAATAATATCTGGGTTCAAATTTTCACATTTAAAAAAATCATTAATTAATAAATTTTGTTTATGGAACTCATCAGAAATTTCTAAAAAATCTTTGCGTTTCCCAATGCTCCCTGCTAGATCCAACATTTCTTGCTCCTCGGTTAATTCGAAAGTCACTTTCTTTTTTTCAACTTTATCTGTAACACCACTACTTGTTTCCCCTTCCTCGAACTTTTTTTCACTTGTCGAATCAACCACATTAACCATTAACAAAAATAATATACATAAAAGTATAGAGTATTTCCAAACACTCAAATAGTATATCATTTTGTCAGTGTATCAATCAGTGGTGTAATGTTGATATAGACCTCCACTGTTCTTTTTCTATAAAAATCTTATTGCAATTTAAAATTACGAGATTATGAAAAATCTGCAAATGTTACTACTACATATGTATGAACAAAAAGTCAAACATGTTTTTGACACCTCTGTCATAAAATTAATTCCTATTCTGACTCATTCAAATATTTTTTGTTAAAATTTCTTATAGTAAAATTTATATATTTACCCTTATAAAAGTCAAAAACAGTTAAACTATTTCTTTTCTGGCAAAAAGAAATCTGAAAATTTTATTTTCATTTAACTAAATGTAATTTTTAAATCAAATTAATTTAATTAAAAATAGTATATTACCTCCAAATAATTGCGAATACCTTGAAAGTTTAATGAAATTTTTAGAAATTTTTTTAAAAATAATTCTATATATGAAAGGACTTTTAAAAAAATTTAAAATGTGAAGGGCTAAATTAAATAAATGGGAATATATTTATTAAATCAGTCAATAATGCTTGCCTCCTCATTGACGCTTGCTCTCTCAAGAGAGAGCAAGACAGCTAATTAAGGTGCGTAGCGGCTCACGCTGCGCAAGACAGCTAAGCGTAGCGGCTAAAAATTAAGCATGCCTTCTAGACGCACGCTGGAAAACGTGGAATTGGCATAAGGCCATGTTGTGGAAGCTAATGTGATGTTTAAAAAGGCGCACCCTAAAACGGCCTTCAACAAAAAACGGCCCATCTCAAAAATTCGTCGAACTTTAAATTAGAAATAGAAGGAAAAATAAATTAAAAATAGAAATCCAGACATTATGTCACCCCAAGAGAACGACCAAAATATGGCCTATATCCGTTTATAAAAACCGTCAATTTATTAAAAATTCGCAGCTTTTACATATTCTGGCACTCGGAAAATTTAACAAAGGAATTTCCGGTTTTCCGGTCCCATATTCTTCCGGTCTCCTTTCATTTTCTATAATGGTTCATGTTTTTGACAGAATTCTAGCTCAAAGTAAATTTATTTTTTTGGGAGAATCTTTCAAAAAATTATCCACAAAAATTAGCCAAAAAATTTCATACATCAGCGGTGGGCATAGCCCTTAGCATATTGCTCGATTTCAATAGGTTTCCAAAAATTTTGTTTCAGTTGTCCTTTCTTGTCTTTGTTTCATGAAGTTTGAGGTTGTTTAATTAGACATTTTTTTAGTTAAGAATTAATTGGCAAATTTACACTCTAATAATTTTATAAAATTAATTGGAAAGAGAGGAAATTAAAAAAAAAGTTAATCAGCGTGATGCAATCAAATCACCATGATGAAGTTTAGAGGGGGAGACAGACATTGAGGGAAGACGGGATTTCTCATTCTGACGATTTAATCATTCTGACGCAATTTAAAATTAGACTGCCTGAATTTTAAATTAAATTTTAATTTTTATTTTAATTTATCAGAAATTCTTTTATTAAAATTCCAAAAATTAATAAAAATAATAATTTAAATTTTGATATTTTTCAAACAAAAAATCTTTAAAAATTGGAAATTTAAAATTATAATTTTCTTTTAATTTTCAAAATAATTTTGGGCATTAATCACACTGACGTAAACAAGAAAATGCCGGCAAAGGAAGCAGGAAAACCCCTTACAATAATTAATTTTGAGGACATTCTAAGGAAAATTTCATTAATATAAATAGGGCAAAAATAATTTAATTATTCCATACTTATTCTAATTTATTAATTTTAATTTAATTTTAATTTAATTAATATTAAAATAAAAAATATTATTGATTAAGATATAAAAAGAATAAAAAAATATTAAAATGAAGCTTTTTATATTTTCTATAATAATTCTTTTCAATTTTAAATTAAATTATTCTGTTCAATTGCTTAGTGATATTTTACAAAATATTACAGAGAAGATTGAAGGTTAGCTTTGAGGAAATGCTTTGGGACCTTTGAAAATTTTTAAACATAGGGGAAGTGATTACGCGGTCTGGTAACCATTCCAAAGAATCTCCAAAAAATTCTGTCTTCTTTTTCACAAGATTTACTCCTTTAAGTGGTTTTTAGTTTAAACAAGAATACCGTATTTTCTTGATTAATTCCCCTGGGGAATTATTTTTCCAACCCTTCCTTGGAATGGGGAGAGGGAGGAGAATTATTCGAGTTTTGGCATTTGAACGTGCAGTAGGGTATTTGAGGATGGGAAATTATTATTTCAACCCATCCCTGGCAGGGGGAATTAATCGAGAGGGGGAATTATTCGAGGGAGGGGAATTAGTAATCGAGAAAATACGGTATATTCAGAAGAGAAATAAACACCTTATATTTTCTTTGATCAAAATTTCGTTGTTCATCTTTAATATTTTTAAACAATTACAGAATCCCAAATCTACACACTTCAAGTTCCAGTTAAAATTTGTATGTTTTTTTTTAAATTATTTTTAATTTCCCCGTTTATTTCAATTAAACTTTTAGCTGATGGTGGAGACATTTGGATGATTCAAGATTTTGAGGGCCCAAATGGATTCAGTGGGCGTAAAAATGAAACAGTTAATATTGAGGATGTTTTGAGGGCCGTACATGGAATTGAAGTTGAATGTGTGTTTTTAATAAAAAAAATTAATTAAATGGAGATCAATTTAAAATTATTAAACAAAAATCACCCAAGGAATTTTTAGGAGCATACAGTCATTTCCTTTTAGTTAATAAGATGGCTTATTAAAATAATTTTTTCGTGATAGTGAACATCAGCGTTAATTAAATTAGCTAACTTATCCAAGTCCAAGTAATTTATCTATGAAAAACAGAAAAATCCTAAAATTAGTCAAATTATTACAATTTTTGGGATTGCATTTAACCAAGTAACCCGCTCCTATATAACCATTGCCTGCTTATTCCTCTCATTTATGCTTTTTATGATTTTCCAGCCCTCAAAGCTGTATAAATAAAAAATGTCCGAATGTACATATTTTATTTCGCGCAATTAAACAAAAAAATATTAGTAAAAAATTTATATTAAAGATGTTGAGCCATCAAAAGAAAATAAAAATTTCGTTCCAAGTGTAGAGAGAAGTGGGGAAATTCGTTTTAAACAAGATATTGATATTAGAGGAGGTGGAAAACGTCTTAGAAAATGTAAGGGAGAGAAAATGTATATTTGGGATTTTGCCCATAGAATGCGCCGAATTGATAAACGATGGATGATTACTGGAGAAAAGCCAAAACCTGAACATATTTTTCGTGTTCTGATTGATGGGCATGCTATGTTGGCACTTTTAAACGATGCTGGGGATGAAATAGCACGATGTAAGTTTCTTTAAAGAGGGAGATTAAATCAAGGGCTCGCTATGATTGAGTTTAGAGTAGGGCGAAAGAAACCCCCGTGGCGTTCGAAAAAATTTTCCTCGTTCCCGTCCCCCCCCCCCCCCGTGGCGCTGTCTCCCAAAAAGTTCTCCCCGTGCCCCCCCCCGTCGGGGAACAACCCTAGTTTAGAGACACAGTTCTGTCTGCAGCAATTAGTTACTGAATAATTCGCCTTCTAAATATTTAATTCCCTACTCGATTGTTGCAATTAAAGATAAAATCCGGATACAGATTTTTAGCTTTTTAATCCCCTAGGGAAAAAGGAAATTCAAGGAAAAGGTATAAGAAATAAGGGAAGAAGGACACAATTTATTTAATAGCCCGCTTTAATTTATAGTCCACTTCAATCGACAAGGCTTGAATCTATTCAGAAAAGAAAGTGGAAATGTTATTGTAGATCAAGAAGATTTAACTGAAAGAATTGACACAACATCCCTTAAACGTTTTCGAGGCCAATATATCAAAAATGGATTTAATCCTCCCTTACAAACTCGTAAAATGACAATAGAGGAGGTAAAAAGAGTGGCACATGAAGTAATTGGAGGAAGGCCTTGGGGTGGAAAAGATGGATTTAAATGCCATCATTTTGTTTACTCATTGGCACAAGCATTGGTAGAAGAAAAAGATAAAAATGAATTGTTGGATTATTCCAAATGGCCAGAAAGTTTAAGAGTTTTAGATGAAAGGATTAATCGGTTGGATGGAACATTTGCATTTTTTGATAGTGTTCCCCTTGTGTGAGTATTTTTATTTAAAGTATTTTAGTGACAGATTTATTTTTGTGGGGAACAGAGGAACGTGTTTAGTTACCGTAAATCCTCTGAAATAGCCCTCCCCCACCTCTAAAATAAGCCCCCTCTAGAGGTCGATCGAAAAAAATAAGCCCCGGGGATTATTTTAGAGGATTTGCGGTAATTAAAGACAAAAATTAAAAACTACATTAGTGGTTGTTTATTTTATCCGCATAAAACTATCAACTATTTACTAGATAACCAACCCTTGACAGTCCGACAAACAGCAAAAACGGCTCAAATCCTTGCTAGAAAGGGCACATTCCCTAACGAATGAGACCGGTCTCGACCGTTTTTAGGTCGGACACCTCACAACCTTTCCTTGTAAAGAATTAAATTCATTCAGATATCCCTCTCCGAATTTGTCTGAGACAACAGAAATACAGACAACACCAAAAAATGAAAGAAGGATTTTTGAATTGTCAAAATTTTGTAACCCTCAAAATGGAGAGCCTTCACCATTTCCATACAGTTTACAATGTGGTACATCAAATGTCCAATATGGTACCGCTATTGCTTATGGTAAAAATTGGAAAGGATTGCGAGCAAATCGGCCAACTTTATTAAATAAATTTAAAATAAGAAAGCCTTTCACAATAAATTCTCTTCCAAGAATACCCATAAAAAAGGAAAGGATCAATCATCCATTGTTGTCTCCTTCTACTCCTCAATTTTTAAAAATTTAAAAAATGATAAAAAAAAATTTTGTTTTGTTATTTTATTTATTAGTAAGGGTAGGATTTATGTGGATTTCATTATTTTTTCCTGGCTTAGTTGGGTCGTGAAACGCACGAAAAACGTGTTGTTTAGCATATGTTGATAAGATTGATAATGAATTATCAATCCATATTTTATCGATATTTCGTCATTTTTTGTAAAATTTGTCAAATTTTCAAAATTTTGGAATTTTTTGTCAAAAATTGCAACTTTTCACAACTAATACATACATACATATGTACATAGGGATGGGATTTATATGGACTATCAATCGAAAATTATGGACATATGTATAATATGGACTAAAATACAAAAATATTCAAATAGATTATTTTGACATTGAAAGCAATTACACTTTCAATGTCAAAATAATCACTTTTCAAAAATTCTCATACCCAGGGATCAATACTTTTTTCCACCAGTGTATGGGCCGAAAACTGAAAATTTTTAATGGAAAAATGAATTTTCACATTTAAATAATTAGATTTTGTTCATTTAAAGTGTTTTTTTATTAATTTTATGCTTATTTTGTGCTTTAAAGGCATAGAACTTTAAAAAGTCATGAAATTTGGGAACATAGTAGTATTAGTATACCCTGATTTTTGTTAATTTTTATACTTGATTTGTGCAGCCTTTTTTCCAATTTTTAAGAAGAAAAAAGAAACGGAGAATCACCAAATTTTTTATTTTAAAAAAATAAAAATTTTTCTTTTAATTTCAAAATTCTTTTCTAATTATTTTTGTAAAAATTTCTAATTTCCCTCCACTCATTTAACAACAATTCTGCCGCCCCAATTAATTCATTAATTTTCTTTTCAAATTCCTCATTTGATTTACACAACCATTTTAATGGATTTTCTTCTTCTCCCTTCCTTTCCTCTTTCTCTTTCCCCAACAAAAATTCCATATCCTTTTTATCATATTCTGGCAATTTTATATTTTTTGTTGAAAATTCGCTTGATTGTTTTGAATTTTCTATTAAATTTGTAAAAATTTCGTCAATTTTTTCTAAGACGGGAGAAATTGTTGTTGGGTTTTTATTTTCTATTCTGAAAAAATAATTTTAAAAACAAAATTATTTTCCTTTTTATCAAAATTATTAGGCTCTAGTTTAGGTCATGCGTCCAATGAGCCTGAAGGGACGCTTATATGTAGTATTTTTGGGACTCATAAAAGCTCATGTCTTAAACTAGAGCCAATTATTGTCTGCCAAAATCATTTTTTCTGGCCCAGGAAAAATGATTTTAGGGTTGGCGCCCATCCTATTCCGATCTGGCCTAATTTTTCTGGACTAATCCGGTCTGGTTTTACTTCGATAAAAATAATTTCCGACTAAATCTACTCCGAATTTTGTCAAAAATCGCTAAAAAAATATTTTAAGAGTTAAAAACTTGAAAAAGAAAATAAATACGGGTTCAAAGTATTTAATAAAAAAACATCGAAAAAATATTCATTCGATTTAATTTGAGATTTATTGCTTTTTCTTGGAGAAATCTTTTTTTGTTAAAAAACGAACTTTTTTATGAACCGACCTAGTATTGCCTAATTTTAAACAAACAATAATTTCTCCTAGTCCTAATCGGGATTTTCAAATTTTCAATAAATCAATTCCCAAGGTCCCTATTTATTATTAAAAATTTTTTAAGAGTAAAAAAATTAAAAAAAAAACTTTTTTTAATCTAAAAAAATTTTAAAAATTCCCTCAAAAACAATTTTCCAAAAACAATTTTTTTCAAAAAAAAACAAAATCCTCACTCACATTTTCAAAGAAATTTTAGCTTTTTGAAGTCTTCTAGCTGTATTAACAACCTCTTTTTTAATTTTTGGGTCCAAAATTAAATGTTCCAATTTTGCATAACCAGCCTCGTCAAAAGAAGCCAAAAAATTGTGTTTAAATAAATCTAACTGGAAAAAGAAAATTTTTTTAATTAATTTTAAAGAATTAACCTGTGTTTTTCTAAATTCATTTCGATCGACAAGTAAGTCTTGATCCAAAATTGTTTGTTCTTTTTGGTTAGAATTGTCTGACATTTTAAATTTTTTAAATAATTATTTTATTTTTCTATAAAAAAATTTTTTTTAAATAAATTTAGAGAAAATTTTTAAAACTTGCGGACAATTTTTGCGGATTTTCACAAAAATTTTTGAGAAAATAGAAAATATCTTAAACAGGTCCAAACTAGAAATCGAGATTTTTAAAAGCCTGGGCCCAGGCCCGAAGCCAGGATTTTTTTTCGGGGGGGGGGCCAAGGGGGGGAAATTTTTTTGCACCAAATTTTTGGCGCCGAAGGCGCCAAAAATTTACATTTTCAGCGCCGCAGGCGAAAATTTTGAGAATTTTGAAGTAGTGTTAGGCAAATGGATTTTTCCGGTACCGGTACCGGTAGTACCGGAAAGTACCGGTACCGGACGAGTACCGAAAATCCCAAAATCTGACCGGTACGGTACCGGTACCGGTAGTACCGAAAAGTACCGGTACCGGTCAGTACCGGAAAAAAATTTCCGGTACTACCGCGGTACTCCGGTACTGAAAATAAAATGAAATAATATCCCAAATATGGCCTTATAAATGTGCTAATTGATGTGTAACAGTTCTATATACTTATATGATCGTTGTTAGTTGGGATATCAAGGGATATTAGGGGATTAAGAGGGATATAGGGGGATTTCGCTGGATTTGATCGGATTAAGATACCTTTGTGAGATGTAATGCCTTTATTACATGACTCTGAATCCACCATATCTATTTTATTCTTTCGATATCTCTCCAAATCCTCTGATATCCTTTCCAAAATTCCCCGATATCCCTCTTAATCCCCCTACCTATAAATACTGAAAAATACACCGGTATATACCTAATCTAATATCCTTAGAAATCTCCCTAATCCCTCTATATTACTTTTAAACATCACAAATCCTCTTTTATCCTTGTTAATCCCGCAAATCCATTTATATCTGTTAATCCTAAAATACCCTCTTAAGAGCTTTTCATTTAGATATATGTATGGGGCATATCAGAGAATGTGAGTATTCTCAACTTTAATGATATTCTTAACCTTAATCGGGGTTTTCAGGAATTTGAGGAGATGGACTCTGAAATTCCAAAAAAATAAAATTTTGGAAGGCCAAGAAGCCAAGATTTCTTCTTGTTATAGCGCCGCAGGCAAAAATTTTCGATTTTTGATAGGCTTCAGGTGAAAATTCAGGAATTTTGGAAGTCCATATGATAATATTTTCCATTTTTTCTTAGAATTTTCCAGTACCGAAAAACCGGTAGTACCGCGGTACTGGAAAGCTGACCGGTACGGTTCCGGTACCGGTAGTACCGAAAAGTACCGGTCCGGTACTGACGGTAGTACCGAACCGTGCCTAACACTATTTTGAAGGCCATAGGCCAAAAAATTCACTTTTTCGGCGCCGCAGGCTCCAAAATTTTGATTTTTAGCGCCGCAGGCAAAAATTTTTTAAATTTCAGGGGCCGTAGGCCAAAAAATTTCACTTTTTTGTCCCAGCCCTTCCCCAAAATTTTCCCTTTTTCCCACTTCGGGGGGGGGGGGGGAATTCCCCCCCCCCTACCCCCCTGGCTACGGGCCTGCCTGGGCCTGTTCCAGGGCTTGATTTATTGACCTGAGCCTGTAGTCTAGAAAAAATACAGGCTCAAGAAAAACCAAGGAAGGTCAAAAAATGCCTGGGCCTGGACTATGGGTACTTTTTTTTCTGTACTACTCTGGCTACAGGGAAAACCCATGTCTTGGTCCAGGCCCAGCTCGATCTGTAGTCCAAACCTTTCAAAAATTTAATTTTAATGTATAAAAATCATCTTTTAATTTATAAAAAAGTCCGCAAAAAGTGTCCGCATGTTAAAAAGAATGTCAATTTTTATAACAAAAAAGAGAAATATTTAAATTAATTTCTAAAATATTTTTTAATAAATTTAAAAATAATTTTGTTTTTTTTAATTTTATCTAAAATTAATTTAAAAAAAAAATAAATTAAAAATTAATTTACAAAAATAAACATTTTTAATCATCCTTCTCGGCTTCCTCGTCCATTTTCTCATCATCAGGCCAATTATTCAATCCCTCATTTAAAATAGCAAAAAGCCAATCTCTTTTAATGCATTGCTCTAAAAATTGAAAAAATATTTAAAAAAATTTTTTTAGCGAATTGGGAGAGGATAGAGAGCTTATTTTCTGACTTTTTAATTCAAAAAATTATGGAATGTAAAAATAATAAATTGAATTTTAAGGAATTTAATTGCTAAAAAATTAGTTAATTTTAAAGCGGAACCGTCAAAAAATTAACTAATTTTTTAATTTTTAAGCCTATTTAATTAATTGAAAATCTGTGGATATTCTAAATTTTCTTGAAATTTTTCTGAAAAAAATAAAAAAAATATAAAATGGTATTTGACTATAAATTTGATGTTTAAAAAAAATTTTTAAATTTAGGGGGGAAAAAATTAGAAAATTAATTTAAAAAATATTTAAATAAATTTTTAAAAATTATTTTTTAAAATTCTGGGCACCTTCTCCTAAAAAATAACAAAAAAATTTAACCAATATCCACAACTTGTAAAGTTCTTCGAGAACTTGCCAAAGTCCAATTCCAAGCAGATTTACTCAAAAGTTGAATATATTTTTCCTTAAAAAGAAATTAATTTAAAAAAAATTATTTTAAAAACCGTTGCAATTGTCAATAAATTAACAGCTTCAGAAGTTATTAAATTTTTTGAAGTTGTTGAAGGGTTGGCTTCTGCTAAAGAAATTTTTGCAATTTTTTTTACTCGAGTAAGTGGTAAATTTGTTTCCATAATTTAAATAAACATAAATTAATTTTTAGAAAAAATGCCTATTTAATTTAATGGTACGACAAATGAGGACGCGACAATTGAAAACAAAAACACATTAAAAAAATAAATTTTATAAAATTTTATTTTTAATGAGTTTTGTCAACAATTATTTTCGTCATAGGTCCTTTCCGTCAGTAAAGAAAGGTCGGCAAAGTATTATAATTGATTGATGATAATTATGATTGATCTGGGTATTAACAAGGATTAGGAAGATTTTGGGAGGAATAAAATTATCCCTTTAATGTCTCCAAACTACTATACATAAAAGCTATTTTTGGAAATTTACACATTTTTTCACGCGAAAGATTAAAATTTAAATAAATTAGAATTAATGTAGTATGTCTATATTTATGTAAATAAAACTACATTACATATTTAAATTTAATATAATTTGATTTTAGACATAAAAGGAAATTACTTTATTTAATAGAATTTAAATAATTTTTAACATATTTAAATATGTAAATTAATTTTAAATAGGTTTATGTATAATATGTATAAAATACAAATATTTAAAATAATTTTTTATTCTCGAAAAAAAATTAATTTTAAAAAACTTCCTATCAAAAAGAAATAACAAAAAAAATGTATTTTCAAACAATGACAATTCTTCTCTTCTTTATTTTGTTTATTCAATTAATAAATGTAAAATAAATTTTAAATTTAAAAAATTAAAGTATTTTTTTTCAAATTTTAGGGTGGACAAGAAATAATTAAATTTTTAATTTCTGAAGAAGCATCGACAAACATTCCAACAGTAGATGATTATCGAAATATTTTGTTTAAATAAAAAAAGAAAGATTTTGGGATCTTTGAAGATTAAAATAAATTTTTATTAAATTTTTTAATTAAAATATTAAATTCTAATTCTATAATATACCGTATATGCTCGAATAATTACCCGGGGGGGGGGGGGGGGGGGTATACCGTATTTTCTCGATTAATTCCCCTCCCTCGGATAATTCCCCCTCTTGATTAATTCCCCCTGCCAGGGATGGGTTGAAACAATAATTCTCCACTCCCATTTACCCTACTGCACGTTCAAATGCCAAAACTCGAATAATTCCCCTCCTTCGATTAATTCCCCATGCCAAGGAAGGGTTAAAAAAAATAATTCCACAGGGGAATTAATCGAGAAAATGCGGTATCTCAATAAATCGAGGAGGAAATCCATTTATTTTTTGATATTAATTCTTAATATAATGTCTCAATAATTAAAATTGACAATGATTCTTTCAATATTTTTAAAATTAGAGAAGGAAAGGGAGGGGGTAATTATTTGAGAGAGAGTAATTATTCGAGCATTTACTGTACATATAATATTTAAAAAAATAAATTTTAATTGTTTTACTGATTTTCGAGTTAATAAAAACTTCAAAAATATTTTTATTTTTTTAATTAAATAAATTGAATAGTTAAAAGAATTTTAATTAAAATAAATTGTTTCAATTCTAGAAAAATAGTTTTGTTTTTAAATTTTATTCACGCTACATTTATTTTTTGAAAGAAAGTCAACTTTTAAAATTTTATATATTTAGCTAAAATGTTAAAATTTTAGAATTAATTTTTTGGAAAGTTTTTGGGAAACATTTTTTTGAGCCGACACAGGCGAAAACTAATGCTACGGTTACATAAAAAACGCGCGCGTCTTGCGGCAGAAAAGATAATGGGAAATGAAGAGAGTAAAAGACGCCGGCGTCTTGCCGCTTTTTTTGAGTGGTTACATAAACTGCGTCTTCTGCCGGCGTCAAGACGCCGAAAACTCAGAAAAATATGCTTTATCAGAAAAATATGCTTTATCACTCAGAAAAAGACTCAGAAAAATATGCTTTATCATTTGGGTTTGTTAAATTTGTTCCGAAAACAAATTAAAAAAATTTTTAATTAAAAAATTTTAAAAAATTTTTAAAAAAATTTTTAAAAATTTAAAATTTTAAAAATTTTTAAAAAAATTTTTAATCGGATTTAGTGGTTACATAAAATCGCGCGCGTCTTGCGGAAGACGCTCGGCGTCAAGACGCCGGCGGAAGACGCTGTTTTGTGGTTACATAAAATCAGCGTTTTGACGCTTTGCGTCTTCTCGCTTAGCGGAAGACGCCGATTTTATGTAACCACGAAACAGCGTCTTCCGCCGGCGTCTTGACGCCGAGCGTCTTCCGCCGGCGTCTTGCGTTTTTTA